TTCGCTCACCACCATAGATTACCCGCTCACTACTATGGACTCTTGCACCACACTAGCTGTTGCACTTCACCCCGGACTACAGTTCCCATCATCTATTGCACTGATTACACATACACAGCTGAAGGCACTGATTACACACAGCTAAATCCAATCAGACATGCTACATAAGCCATAGACTTCCTCGTTCTCACTGCCGAGTATTGTAAGCGCATATTGCTACCTTAGTCGATAGCTACTTTACAGAGCCAGAGCCAGAGCCAGAGCCAGTTCCCGTTCCCGTTCCCGTTCCTAGTTTGAGTTCTAGTTGTCTCGTCTAGTTTCCTGTTTGCCTGTTTCCTGATTTTCGCTTGTCCTGGATTATCTCTCTCGTCTTTTTTACTTTTTTACATATTACTGCTGCACTGATGTGTATGTTGCATTTTACTTCTGAATTTGTTCAAGGTTATTAAATTTAAAGTTGCCTACTAAATATGCTGTTGGGTATGTGAGCGGGGACAATGCCACCTAAAGTAACAAGGTAGATAATTTTCTACCACTACAGGTTTTTCCAAACAAATGGAAGAACAAGCAGAGGGGTACACAACCTTCCACCCAGCTCCATCCACCCACACAGAAAGAAAAACCTACTAAAGTGGATCACCCCATTACAGGTAGTTTAATCTACAACAACGCATAATATTGTAAAATACCATATTTTTATAGTGTTGCTGTCTGTGAGAAAAAAAAGAAAACTTAGTACTTAATATTTGTTCGAGAATACTTAACGAATGTATTTCCTTAAAGTCCACCTTTGATTATTTTGAAAATGAAAGTATCAACATTTTGTCAGAATATTAACACATTGTTGCTAACTATATCAAAGGCTGCATCGGAAGGACTCGGACCGGTCAAACAGAGCACTGTTCAGCTGTGACGAATCCATTATGTAACACAAGTAGTACATAATAACTCCAAAGTCCCCACTCCAAGATAGGGATGATCACTTCCATTTGGAATTTGACCACGAACCATTCACCGTTACACCCCTAATATATATATATATATATATATATATATATATATATATATATATATACACACATCTTATTTTTTTTT